AAATACGATGATAATAACCAAGTTTTTGTAATGTTACCTTAAATAATGTTAAGACAATTTAGATGAGCAATAATTGATATTGGAAATGACGTGAATAGATTAGCCAAAATTAATTCAAAAATATAGGGACATAACACACATGAATTAAACTGTGTATCTATTATGAATACTATAAAATCGTGGAATTAGAAATATCTTGTTTTGAATATAATAACAATATATAACTAGAAGGTACTCCAAGAGTGCAATTGTTTATCCTAATACCTAATGTTTTAAAATGCTTTTTACATAATCTTCTGTTTTATAAGAGAGTCTTGAATAGTTTATTCACTCAACAACAATGACCATATCTGACAATGAAGAATACTTAAAAAATTTGTCTAAGGACAAAATCAAGAATGTTCATTCTCAACTTTTTTGAGATATCTAGCAACCACTAGTGCAGTTCTCAACCAACCTCTAATCTCTTATTTTTAATAGCAATCTTTCTGAAAAAGTCATGACATTTTGGCCATAATTTTTGGAATTACAAATGGAATATATTGGCTAAAATGCTGTTTCCATGGCAACCAGATCCAGACCTTCACCAAAATGTAGTGGGTTTGTAACTGTTTCAGTTAAAAAACCTGTGCATTTATTTACATAAACATCAAACTTAAGACAAACTTAAATATCTATAATTATGTTTTGCTTTTCAGATGAAGAAAAAGGGAAGAAAGAGTCTCCATTTTTCCATTGCAATGTGACATTGGCTATTCCAAATATTGTAATGCAACCAGCTTTAGATGAAGTACAGCAGTGTGTCAACAAAGCTGCTCTGCTCGTGTTAAATGTGTCAAAAGGTGTCGCACAGTGGTCTAAGGAAAGAAAGAAAAAGGTGATTCTGCTCTGTCTGTCAAATAATTTTATCGCTTGACGATTTTACTTCCTTGATAATAAAAGTCTAGTATGAATATTTGCTCTGTTTTTCTGAATTGCCATGTTATTATTGCTTTCCTTGATTGTTTTTAGACCAAGGGTCCAACATTTACTATGACCGTCACTTCTAATATGCCTTAGACCGAGATGTCTCAGAAAATCTGATATATTATATGTATATAGTTTTCATGAAGGTCACCTTGTATTAATATTTTCCGTCATTGAATATTTTTGGATATAATATTTGCCAAAACTTAAAATTAATTTGTATGACTCAATATTGAACTTAATATATCATCCATCAGTAAGGGCAATATGTATAGAGCTGATCAAGTTTCTTATTTATAGGTCAAGCCTGAAGTGGAAACTCCACGCGAAGATCGTGAGCGACGTGGAAGTGTTGTCAGCTCTCACTCTGAGAGCTCTCAGTCCTCCAGGTTTCGAGGTATTTATTTTTGGTTGGCAAATATTTTATATGCACTGAATAATAGTATACAGAAGTCCACAACTTAACGAAGGTGCAAAATATAAGATGAGTTACAGTGACTGTTATGAAATTTAGTCCAAACAGATGCTCTCAAAACTAACAAATCATGAAAAACAGTTTACAATATATATTGGATAATAAAAATATGACATTTTGACCATAGACAAACATGTGTCATTTATTAAGTGTAGTCAATAGTAATAGTCAAAAACATGACTTTGTCAACGTTTTATGTATCCGATTCATGGGCAAGGTTTTATTAATTGTGTTATGTTTTGATTAAACGTTTAATATCTTTGTATCTATATCACTTTCACAGGAAAGGTTCAAGATCCATATGCACTGGGTCCTCAGGAACCCAAGAATAATTACTACAAGAATGTGAGTGAAAACAAGGAAATAGCCAAACTGGTATCGCTGTTATCTACAGCCATTAACTCACAAAAGAAGGTAATGTGTACTTGGAATAATACTGTATTTAGTATACTGTAAACAGCATTTAAACTAAGTTTGGAAAATCTGTTGATATTCAGAAAAACTTGGGCATCGATGGTACATGCTAATACAAACAAATCTCCAACTCATTGCTGAATGATGTTACCAACAATTCGTGGGATATCAAAAAAACTTGGTTGATAACAAATTTGGGAAAATTAAACAATTTTTGTTTAAGTTGATTTGCAGAATTTGTTTTTTCATGTACCAATGAGAATTAAATTATGTTGTTGCTATCAACAATATAATTATTATAATGAACAATTTTTTTCTGAACATCAATGTATTTTCCAAAATTTGTTTAAACATTCCACAACTTTGTGATGACTGGTATGATTTCATACATGTATGAAATTCATATGAAGACAAAACATTTTAGGTTGTAAATGAATATTTTTTCTTTTTGCAAAAATCAATTAAATGACTAAAACAGTTTTTTGTTGACTTA